ATGCTATGTGCTTTGCTACCCTTCCACCTGGTCTCCTACACACACAGTATATCTACCTTCCTTCTCTCCATCATGTCCGCCAGCTCTTTACCTTTCCGTTATTGTGCCAATGTTAAGAGTCCCTATTATAAATTACAAATTACATTAGGGTGGAAGCCGTCGCTAGCAGTAGACTCCTAACAGTAGTCCAATTTCTGCCAGCACCCTGTAGGTCAACAGCACTGGTGGCGGTTGTTGTTAACCCGGGCCACGACCGATCCGGTATGGAATTCGCACTGATGATTCACATGTTTAAATTTGGCATGTTTTTATGCTGGATGCCCTTCCTGACGCAACCTACTCTATATATCTGGGCTTGGGACCGGCGCAGAAGTCACTGGCTTGCAACCCCTGTGGCTAGATTAGAGCATTAGACGCATCCAAAGGACAAATATTTGTTGCAGATGTGGCTCAATTCCTTCTAGACATGTCAGTAGCTAGCTAATGTGTATATGTTGGCATCATTAGCAAGATAAAATTAGAATTTGAATTTTGTTCCTTTGTATTGAATTATTCTGGTTGTAATTGGAGTCATCCTAACTGACTGCAGTGTTAGTATTTTGTTGTCCAATTAGCAGAAACCAGCACATCTTTCTAGATAAGGAAATGAAGTAATTTTGCTCAGTTTGCTAATTTTTCCTCAGTTTGGTCCAGGCCACATGATTTGTTTATGTCGGACATTACAGTGAGGAGTTTGTTCAGCTGTCAATGTGTAACACGTAATTTGTCTTCTTGTAACCATATTACCTTGCCTTATAACATTGTGTGTGTCAAGTACATAACTTTGAACTAGATGTGGTAGTGTCCAGAACATTAGTACTGTAACAATATTACTAGGTAAAAACATTCCTCTGTATAATTTGATTCACACTGCTTTAGGTAAGAAAAAGGACCCTTGTTGCTGCAATGCCACCGAAAACCACGAGGTATAATGGGCTATATTCCATACACATTTATATTAGTGTTGAGCTGCCCAACTGCCGAGTCTGTTTCCAGTTGCAGTTACCACATATGACATACTTTCACAGACAGGGCAGGAGGGGTGGAGGGAGAAAAGGAGGGATGCTGCTGGAGTTTCTTTTGATTCTCACTCACTCTAATGTTTGAGAGTTTGAAGGCTAGAGGTTAGAGTAGCTCTGGCTGTACAAAATAAAGGCATTAATTTAATTCCAGTAAAGGTTCATACAAGTTGGAACAGCAGTTTATGCTGACTCTATTTAGTATCCCTCAGGGAGTCCTCACTGTTAATGCTGTTTTTATGACAAGGAGTGGATGAAGTCCAGAGCTCAGCACCTTCCACAAAGGTCTTTGCCCAGGCTCAGAATGGATGTAGGCCACTGTGCTCTGCAATATACTGTAGCTCTCATTTCCAGCAATTTACTGAATTACCGTCAAATAATAAGCAGTTATCTATAAAAGGAGTGTGTTATATGAGAAATTTATTTAAGTGACGCATGTGCTCATAGAACAAACAGAATTAAAAAAATCTGATTTGTTTTCTTTTGCAGCAGTTTTATCTACATGTTTTATAACAATAACAAGATTATTTCTCAGTCCTTGAAGTGAAATAGGCCTATATTTTTATTGTGGGCAGCCTTTCTCTGTGTCAAGGACAAATCAGGTATTGTTGAGAGAACAATCCAAACAGA